CTGAGTTATCTTCAAATGTGCAAGGTAGAACTTGAAGATGATGAATTTTGATACCAGTCTGAGCAGATTTCTAAACATGATCTTAAAGGGACCACTTGGTGTTTCCTTGCTATTTATAGTAAAATGCGAGAGGAATGAGAATGAAGTGTGTCAAATTCAAACAGAACTTAAAGATTTGGAAAATTCAGTTGTGCAAGCCGAGGACCCATTTCCTAGAATGTTCACCAAGGATGTGGCTACACAATATTTTGTTAAAGAGATTAAGTTTGTGATGGATGGATCCAACCAAGTACCACAGCAGAAAACTCATCAGCTGAGACTGACAGGGACAAAGAAAGATGGAAAGGTAAAAACACTGTCGGCCTCTTGGAACTCTACAGACAGGAAACAGGTCAAAGGAGCTGCATTTATTGACCTTCAAGAAAAGAAAAGGACCATTTCTGAGGCAGCTTGGAGATCCAGTAGAACTATTGGAAAGTCCATGGGAAGCAGGGCCTTCTTGGCCACAGCCTCCTAGGTTTCAGGGTTGGATCTTTGCCAACTGGGTTCCCGAGTGTGGGGCTGACATTAAGGTGTACCAGGGAAGTGAAGTCACTACCCAAAGCTGGGGAGTCAGGGCTGCCATGCCCAAGGGACAGAAGAATGGGCTGGCTGGGACCAAGGGAGTAGGGTTGCCCACTCAGATGGACTAGAAGAATAGGGCTGTCCAAGGCCGAGGGAGCAGATTTGCCATCTCAGTGAGCCTGGAAGATGGAGTTGAAATCCTGGACTTGGGACCGCCCTTCCAAATCCAGAGGGCATGGCCAACCTCCAGACTCTGGAGAGTGGGGCCCTTACCCATATAGTTTCAAAGAGCAAGGACTATTTTCAAGTCCTGAGAGCTATTGTAATTTGCTCTGCTAGGTTTTGGATTTGCCTGGTGCTTGTTATCCCTTCCATTTATCCCAGTTGTATTGGGACTGTCTACCTTGTGCCTGTTCTATTATTGTACTTTGGAAACACGTAACCTGGATTCTGGATTTCACAGGTTTACAGATGAAAAGGAATTTTGCTCCAGGATGGAATACTCCTAAAGTCTCACCCATATTTGATTTATATGATTTTAGACTTGAAGTTATGACTTTTAGAATGATGTGATGGGGTGAATGTGTTTTGCATGTGGGGAGGACATGTACTTGGGGGTGGGAAGAAGGGTAGAATGTTATGACTTGAATTGTGTCCTCTAAAACTCTTAGTTAGCCTCTACTCCTGTGGTTACATGAGTCAACGTCAATAAGCAGGGGTCTCTGCAGAGAATAAGCAGATTGAAATGGAGAATGAATATTAGGAAGTATTGGAAAATATGATTGCAGTTTCCACCAGTCTGGAAATTCCTTAAGGGCAGAATCTAATTAGATGATATGTGAGCATATTCCGCAGAGCATAGGGCACTGGCCAAACCCACAGGAAATGCTCAGTAAAGAGTCATACTGAGCGCTTACTGGCTAGTGAAGGCCAGCATGTGACCCAGTGGGAGGAGTTCACGAGAGAACAAGCAGGCTGAAGTGGACGAGGAGCACAGAAGAGCCATGGAGCCACTGAAAGGACAATATGCTGAGATGGAGAAGGACCTAGCGAAATTTTCAAACTTTTAAGAACTTGAACCTCAACAATTTCAAACCAATGAGAAAACATTGACTACCCCAACCCCCAAATATTCCCACCAAACCATTTAGCCTCTGTTCAAGTATGGCCATATATTCAATGACACTCTTTTATCAGAAGAAAAAAACAACTGCAGGATCCCAATTAATGTTTAATAAAAGAAGAGTGCTGTATATA